CGACGACGCCGACGACGATGACGACGACGACCGCGCGGCGGCATCGGACAAGGGCATCCTGCCCGCCAGGCACGCCTCGCTGCTGCGGGTATCGAGCAGAGCCAACGTCTCGCCCTCGCCGACTCCGCCACCGGCCGAGAGCAACGACAAGGCGAGGCAGCGGATCACCGTCAAGGCAGAAAGCAGGCGCGAGGCCAGGGAGCTGTTTGGCGTGCGCAAGGGCAAGGACGAGGACCTGCCCAAGTTTGAGCGGATCGACTACGAGGTGAGCCATGCCAGCGGCGAGGCGCAGCATCCCTTGGAAGGCCGACGACTGACCAGCCCGGCGCACCGCCCAACGCACTCCTCTGCGCAGCTCTACCTCGGCTTCCCCCGCCATCCGCCCTACAAGATGCCCGACATGCCGACATCATCCCGGGACGGCGGTGCCGATGGCAGCACGGCAGTCAAGCTGCGGCTGGAGGGGACGCACGTCCTGGCGGGTCTTCGGAAGCTGATTGAAGCGGGCATGGACAGGGAGACATCCTACCGGCCCAAGGTGGAGAACGGCGGCGGCGGCGATGACGATCGATCAGAGCGGACGGCTGAGGCGACGAGGCTAGCTGGTCTACCGGGATGGCTGACCGAGGTGCGCGGAACCAAGGTCGTGGTGAAACCGCCGGGCAGCCAGGACGAGCCTGCCGACGATACCAGCGGCACCTAGCTGGTCTGGCTATCGGCGGTGCAGTCGAGGCGTCACTGCTGCTGCCGCTGCTGCTGGGGTGCATCGACGAATGAAACACACTTGGCCTTAGAAGGGTGTGTCGTGTGATGTCGAACCGAAGCCTTGCGGCAAGAGTTGGCGGGGTGGTGGTGAGCACTGAAAGGGATATTCTCGCGGCCTTTGGCGCTCTCGCATCGCAGTGGTTGGGCCCGGTCAGGAAATCGAGAAAAGGGTCGTGCGCTCGCGTGCCGGGCCCAACCTCCGCTCTTTGAGGCGGAGAGAGCGACAGGCGGCCCCCCTCAGCGGTCGAGGGTCATGCAGGCGTGGCCAACGTCGAAAGGCAGGACGAGGGGGTCCTCGGTCCACGCCTTCCGACCACCACCGCCACCTTTGCCTCTGCCTGACCCATCTCGCTGCTCTCCGTGCCGCTGCTACACGCTCCGCCGGCATCTAGACGATACCCCCAGCAGCCCGGCAGCCCAGCAGCCTAGCAGGACCGCCACCGCCGCCGCCGTCACCGACCTCGACACCTGGATCGCTGCTGCCGGTCCAACGTTTGTCCTTTTCCCCGATCGTGTGCGACCTCCTACCTCGTCGCCTTTGACCTATCCGCTCTTCGCTTGAAAGCGCACACGGCAGTCTCCACACCACCCCCACCACCACCACCCCCACCACCACCACCCCCACCACCTCGCCGCGATGGCGGAAGTCGGCAAGGATGCCAAGTACTTCCAGAGGGGCAAGCTCCAGGAGCTGCGGGCGGACCTCTCGACCGACAAGAAGGACAAGGGGTGGGTGCGCAAGAAGACGACGCTCAAAAAGATCATCGCCAACGCCACCATGGGCAACGACATGAGCGGGCTCTTCATGGACGTGGTGGCGTGCATGAACATCCAGGTGCTCGAGATCAAAAAGATGGTCTACCTCTACCTCGTCAACTACGGGCGCGTCAAGCCGGACCTGGTCATCAACGCCGTGCCCGGTTTCCTCTCGGACTGCAACGACCGCAACCCGCTGATCCGCGCCCTCGCCATCCGCACCATGTCCTACATCCACGTCCCCGCCGTCACGGGCGCCCTCATCGACCCGTTGCGCCACTCGCTCAAGGACAGCGACCCGTACGTCCGCAAGACGGCCGCCATCTGCGTGGCCAAGCTCTACATGCACGACCGCAAGCTGGTCGACAAGCAGGGCTTCATCGGCATGCTGCGCGACCTCCTCGCCGACTCGAACCCCACCGTCGTGGCCAACGCCGTCGCCGCCCTCACCGAGATCTCGGAGCGCAGCGACAACATCCAGCTCAAGCTCAACCTCACCATCGCCAGCAAGCTCGTCAGCGCCCTCAACGAGTGCTCCGAGTGGGGGCAAACCTACATCCTCGAGTCGCTCATGTTCTTTGTGCCCAGCGACTTTGCCGACGCCGAGATCCTGGCCGAGCGCATCGCCGTCCGCCTGCAGCACGCCAACTCGGCCGTCGTCCTCACCTCGACCAAGGTCATTCTCTACCTCATGAACTACATCGCCAGCGCCGAGTTCAAGGAGAGCCTGTGCAGGAAGCTGAGCCCGCCGCTCGTCACGCTACTGTCGTCCGGGCCCGAGGTCCAGTACGTGGCGCTGCGCAACATCCTCCTCGTCATCCAGCGCAGGCCGATTGTGCTGCAGAACGAGGTCAAGGTCTTCTTCTGCAAGTACAACGATCCGATCTACGTCAAGATGGCCAAGCTCGAGATCATCTACCGGCTGGCGAGCGAGCGCAACGTCGAGCAGGTGCTGGCCGAGCTGGCCGAGTACGCGTCCGAGGTCGATGTCGACTTCTCGCGCAAGGCGGTCCGCTCCATCGGCCGGCTGGCCATCAAGATTGAGTCTTCGGCCGACCGGTGCATCCATGTGCTGCTCAAGCTGATCCAGACCAAGGTCAACTACGTCGTCCAGGAGGCCATCGTCGTCATCAAGGACATCTTCCGCAAGTACCCCAACCGCTACGAGAACATCATCGCCACGCTGTGCGAGAACCTCGACTCGCTCGACGAGCCCGAGGCCAAGGCGGCCATGATCTGGATCGTCGGCCAGTACGCCGACCGCATCGAAAACAGCGACGAGCTGCTCGAAGACTTCCTCTACTCGTTCCTCGAGGAGCCGGTCGCCGTCCAGCTGGCGCTCCTTACCGCCACCGTCAAGCTCTTTCTCAAGCGGCCGACGGCGGGCGGCGAGCTGGTGCCCAAGGTGCTCAAGTGGGCCACCGAGGACGTCGAGAACCCAGACTGCCGCGACCGCGGCTTCATGTACTGGCGGCTCCTCTCGACCGACCCGGAGGCGGCGCGCGAGATCGTGCTGGCCAACAAGCCGTCGATCAGCACCGAGACGGACCGCATGGACCGCCAGCTTCTTGACCAGCTGCTCCTCCACGGCTCCAGCCTGGCCAGCATCTTCCACCGGCAGCCGCAGACTTTCATCCGCAACGCCAAGGCCAGGGTGAGTGTGCCGCGGATCCCCTCGCGGCCGGCCGACGACGACGACGACGATGACGACGACCGCCGCAAAAGCCTGCTGGACGCTCTTGCGCTGACCGTGAACGACCATCTTCGCCCATACCTGCCACTGTACTAACCTTGCCTTTCGACCAATCTTGGCTGCTGCCGCCGGCAGTACATGCCCGACTCGCCTGCGCTCGACGAGGCGGCGCGCCGCTACGCCAGCACGCATCTCTACACCAAGCCAATAGCGCGAGGACCGGTGGTGGCCCCGTCTCCGCGGCCGCCCTCGCCCTCGCCCGGCTACGAGGCTTCTGCCGCCGACGACAAGGGCGCTTCGGCAGCGTCGCGGGCCGAAGACGCGGGCGATGAGGCGGCATCAGATGGCGCGTCCGCGGTCAAGGATGCGGCTTCGGGCGTTGCCGCACGGCCGGCAGAGGACCAGAGCGAGCGGGCAGGTGACGGCGATCCGTACGCCATGCTGGGCGACGACTTTGGCGGCGCGGCGGGAGGGTACACGGCGGACAACCCCAAGCCGCGGGGCGACATCGACGACCTCCTCCTCTAACGAATGCGATGATGGCAGGGGCCAGAGGTGGCGACGCCTGCGCCTCGACCCGTACGACTAGCCAGCTGCTGCTGCTGATGGTGACGCGTCGGCCCAATACGCTCCGCGGCCAGCGGGCATCCAAAAGTGCGTCGGTCTTGGCGCCGTGGTTCCGGCGGCCCGCATTGTCAGGAAGGCTGAAACGTGGGGAAATAAGCAGCGCCTGGCATCACACCGGCCTCGGCCATCGTCGAGCTGAAGGTCGGCGCGGTAGAGGCAGCGAGGAGCGTGCGGACGACGATGTGGTGGTCCTGACGAGAAGTTGGCGGGGCATGACGATGAGCCTGGTCGGTCCCTCGAGCGCGGGACTCGCCAGCTCCATGGGGTGAGCAGAGGTGGGTGTGGCCGTCGGTACAGACGGACGGCAGGCAGGCCAGCAGGTGACCACGCGGTTGGGCCCCGCGAGCTTCTAAATGGCAGCACCGCGGCTCACTTCGGCCCGAAGTACGCAGTCCAAGAATCGGGCATCGAGGCCGAACCTCGGACATACAGAGGACGGCATGGGGGCGCTCGTGCTGGCCGGCCGGATCGCTCGCTTGCTCGAGCCTGCCAGCTGCACGTCGTTGAGGCTCGCCCGAACGGAGGGCAGGCAGCCAGGCTGGCCCGGCCTTCGGATCATGCCGCGCCTTTGCGCTCGGCCCTGAGGCTCGCAGCCCGCCTGCTCGCCCTCGAGCGGCGACCGAAGCGCGTCAGGTTTTGCCGACGGCCTGACGGCTGGCCTGGCCTGGCCTGGCCTGGCTGGCTCGACGGCCCGTCGAGCGTCCGCAGGCCGGCCGGCGGGCAAGCAGCAGCGCGCAAGCTCCCGCCGCTTTCTCTCGCTTCCCCGCGCATCTCTACCGCCCGGAGGTCTAGCCCCCCCTACCTCCCTGCCCGAATGGATCTCGCAGCTCGCGCGCACCACACGGCCGGGGGCTGGCAGCCGGCCCCCCCTTAGCCTAGCCGGCCTGCCTCTTTCTCTGGCAGCAGACACGCACTACGCGGGCCCGTCAGCTGGCGTTGAGCTTCCCGACCTAAGCTGCCTGACCCTGACCAGCCTCTCGAGCGCCGGCCCAAGGCCTGCCCTGCCTGCGCGCCCCCCGCTCACCAGCTTATGCCTCAGCAGCTCGAGACTGGCGGGCCTCCGACGGCGTGTCTGGCCTGGTCTGGTCTGGCCAGGCCGTGCCGTGCCATCGGGATGATGCCTAGTCCTCCCCGCTGAGCCACCGTAGGCTAGGCTGGGGTTGGTCTCGCCACCATCCCATCGTCTGTGCTCCTTGCTCGCTCACTATCTTCACATCCACGCCTCGACTGGCAGGAGAGCTTCGTCGCCCCCCCCTCCCTTTCCACCCCTCCTCGTCTGTCTGTCGACGCCGACGCCGCCTCCGCCGCCGCCTACTCCCTAACTCGATACCGCCAGCGGCATCTCCGACCCCCTACCAAGGCTCGAGGGGCAGCCGCGTCCTCTCGCTCGACATCCGGCCCGTCCCGACCCGACCGCAGGCTTTTCATGTCCTATTCGCGGGTCGACAACGGCGCTACCATCCCGTCCGGCCCCGGCCCGAACCCGCGTGGCCAACCTCCGTACGACCCCAGCAGCGCGCGCGGCGCCATGGCATCCTCGCGTCCGCACGGCGCGGCGCCCAGAAACAACGGCGGCACCGCCAGCGAATCATCGTCCAACGTCGGTGGTTCCGAGTTTGGGCCCTACTCGCACCTGCGCGGCAGGGGCAACCCCAACAACGGCAACGGCAACGGCAATGGCGGCGGCGGCGGCGGTGGCGACCCGCGCGGCAAGTACGCGCCCGCTGCGGGCGGTGCCAGCGCCGTCGGCAGCTCGTCGTCGAGCCACAGCTCGTCGCAGCGCTACGCCGCGGCCCAGAACGCGCAGCTGCTCGTCGACAGCAAGGACGCCGAGCCCGACGACTACCTGCACAACCCGGACGCGGACTGGGACAAGTCGTCGCACGCCTTTTCGGTGCGCGGCTTTCTCAACGTCCTCACCCTGGCGCTCATCGGCCTGGCGCTGCTGATGCTCTTCGCCGGCTACCCGATCCTGGCCAACACGCTCAAGGTGTTTGACAACAGCAAAAAGGGCGGCTTCAACATCGGCGGCACCAACGGCTCCGGCCAGGTGCCCGACCTCCAGATCCGGCAGCTGGTCGACAAGGACACCAAGGAAGAGGTCAAGCGGATCCGGCTGCAGAACGTCGACTACCAGCTCGTCTTTAGCGACGAGTTTGAGCAGGAGGGCCGCACCTTTTGGCCCGGCGACGACCCGTTCTGGGAGGCCATGGACTTCTACTACGGCGCCACGTTCGACTTTGAGTGGTACTCGCCCGAGGCCGTCAACACGACCAACGGCGCGCTCCTCATCACGATGGAGGAAAAGGTGACGCACAACCTCAACTTCCAGTCGGGCATGGTCCAGTCCTGGAACAAGTTCTGCTTCCAGGGCGGCTACATCGAGTTCAGCATCAAGCAGCCCGGCACGCCCACCACCAAGGGCTACTGGCCCGCCGCCTGGATCATGGGCAACCTCGGCCGCCCGGGCTTCCTCGCCTCGACCCACGGCATGTGGCCGTACAGCTACCAGTCGTGCGACACGGGCGTCCTCGATGGCCAGATGTACGTCAACAAGAGCGGGCCCTACGACGTGCTCCACTCGACGGCCACGTTCGCCGAGCAGGGCCGTCTCAACTTGCTGCCGGGCATGCGCACGCCCGCCTGCACCTGCCCCGGCCAGAGCCACCCGGGCCCCAACAACAACGTCGGCCGCTCGGCGCCGGAGCTCGACATCCTCGAGGCCCAGATCCAGACGCACCGCGGCGAGACGCACTCGTTCGCCTCGCAGTCGATCCAGACGGCGCCGTTTGACATCCGCTACGAGTGGGACAACAGCACCGCCACCATCTACGACGACACCATCACCGAGTTCAACACCTACACCGGCTCGACGCTGCAGGAGGCCGTGTCGGGCGTCACCCAGATCCCCGACCGCGGCTTCTTTGGCACCAACGACGAGTTCATCACCTACGGCCTCGCCTACGAGCCCGACTGGAACGCCGACGGCGGCGGCTGGGTCGTGTGGTACATTGACGGCAAGCCGACGTGGAAGGTGACGGGCGCCTCGATCGGACCCGTGCCCAAGCTCGACGTCGGGCAGCGCACCGTGCCCACCGAGCCCATGTCGATCATCATGAACCTCGGCATCGCTTCGGGCTTCCAGCCCGTCGACTTTGGCCCGGGCGGCGTCTCGTTCCCGGCGTACATGGCGTGAGTAGCAACGGGCCGCAGCACCGCAAACCCACGCGCCATCCGAGTCCCGCCTCGGGCTGCCATCTCTCCGGTCGTCGTCAGAGCACGCTCTCGGTGGTGATGGACCTTCCCTCCGCTGACCCTCTTGTCCGCTGCTTTTCCCCTCCCCTTTCCGTCTCGCCGCTGCCAGCTTCGACTACGTCCGCGTCTACCAGCGGCCGGACGCCATCAAGGTCAGCTGCGACCCCAAGGACTACCCGACGGCGCAGTACATCGAGGACCACATCAAGGTGTACACCAATCCGAACCTGACCCTCTTCACCGACGCCTACGACTGGCCCACCAACAAGATGGCCAATGGCACTTGCTAGCTAGCGTGCACGGTCGCCTCCGGGCCGCCGGCCTCGTCGATTCGTTCCTCGAGGGGATGCGGATGAACACGGTGTGCGCTTCACTCCTTCGCCGCCGATAGGATACCTGGCTTCTCTCTCTCCTCCTTCTGTACGCCTACCTCTCTTGTTGCTTTGTCTGAAACGGTCCCCCGCTGCCTGCCTTTACGATGTAATGAACACTTTTCTGCCTTGGACGGTATCTGGACCTGGGCATTCGCGAGCGAGGAGAAGTCTCTGATGCGCTGGGAGAGAGAGAGAGAGAGAGAGAGAAAGGGGGCTGCGACGCGGCGCGCGGGAGAGGATGGGAATGGTCACCGCGAGAGGCGGTCGATGGGAATGGTGATGATACGGTATCGAGCCAGCTGCCGGGGCGATGCAGGCGGCGGCGGCAGGTGGGGCGGCGGCGGGGATGTGGAGCGTGCGCAGCCTGGCCTGCCAGCCTCGCTCGGCTGACTCTGGTGGCCCCCTGGCCTGAAAGCCAGGCTAGGGCCTGGCAGCGCTCCGCCGGACTGCCCGACCGCCACCACCACCACCACTATCGCCACCACCACTGTCATCGTCACCGCCAGGCACCACCACGGCAGCTGCCCACATCACATCCCATCGCCGCTCTGCATCTCATCCGCGTCCCAGACTCGGCAGCGCAGCAGCCTTGTGCGCCACCCAAGGCGGCTCAGGCCAAATCCGTCCGCCTCGAGCCAGCCTCGTGCGCCAATACCACCGCTCTCCTCATTTACGCCGAGACCTCTACTTCGCCGCGCTACAGATCGGTTTGGATCACCATGGACGCCCTGCAAAAGAGCCTCGACCAGCTCAACAAGCGGGCACCCGGCCTGCATTCGGCCTCGTCCAGTGCGCGCGCCGCCGCCGCCAACCCGACCGTCCACGACTCCATCGACCGCCTGATCGCCCAGATCGAGCGCGCCAAGGCCAGCCTGGCCGCGCCGTCCTCTGATACCCCTGCGGATCCTGCCGTCCTGGTGGCCGAGCTGAAGTCGCTCGTCGACTCGTCGCAGCGCAGCGTGGCAGAGAGGCAGAAGGAGTTCTACGGCGGCCTCAGCAAGGCCTTCAAGGCCCTCGACAAAAAGTTCCCCACCAACCTCGACGGCGTGGCCGACCCGGCCCTCTTTTCGAGCCCCAAGGCGCAAAAGGCGCTCGAGCGCGTCATCCTCGAGCACCTGCTGCGCCAGGGCGACTGGGACGGCGCAAAGACGTTCGCCGACGAGGCGGCGCTGCCCGTCGATCCGGGCGTCTCGTCAACCTTTACGGATCTGCACGCCATCCTCGACAGCATCAGGGCGGGCGACCTGTCTCCGGCGATAGAGTGGGCCGAGCGAGAGAGGCCGTTCCTCGAGAGCCGCCAGAGCCCCCTTGAGTTTGCGCTCCACCGCAGCCAGTTCATCCGCATCGCCACCGGGGCCTCGCCGTCGCCGCTGAGGGGAACCGCCTTTCAACCGCAGCGGGCGTCGTCGGCGGCGGCCAACCTGGACCCGGACGGCGAAAACGTCGAGATGGAGCCTATCGCGGGCGCCGACGGGGCCAGCGGCTGCCCTGGCCTGTCGGTGCAGGAGCGCGAGCTGTCGCAGTCCAACACCGGCTGCGCCCTCGCCTACCTCCGCCAGCGCTTCCAGCCGTTCCTGCTCGACCGTCTGGCCGAGATCAAGCGGATGGTGGCGCTGCTCGCCTACTGCCCGCGCTTCCCGCCGATGGCTTACGACGACGTCCCCATGGACGCATGGACCTACGAGCACTTTGCGTCGCACGTGCCTGCCCTCTACCGCCCGCTGCTCGATCCGCAGCTGGTCCACGGTCCCTTTTTGGAACCGCTGTTCCGCCTCGAGTACTGCGCCCGGCACCGCGTGGCAAAGGAGGCGCCGCTGGCCATCGGCGTCGAGATTGGCGCGGGCGGCGCCCTGAGCCACATCATCAAGGTCAAGACGCTGATGAAGGAGAGGAAAAACGAGTGGAGCCAGGCCGACGAGCTGCCCGTGAGTCGAAGCGGCCGCGCTGCCGTGAGGTCGAGGTTGAAGTCGAGGTCGGGTGTGCTGAACCTGCAGAGCTTCCTCGCTCCCGTGTGGGCCGCCGACAGGTCGAGATCCCGGTCCCGCCGCAGCTGCGGTTCCACAGCGTGTTTGCGTGCCCCGTCAGCAAGGAGCAGGGGACCGAGACCAACCCGCCGATGATGCTGGCGTGCGGCCATGTGCTCTGCCTCGACACGCTCTGCAGGATGGCAAAGGGCAACAGGTGAGTGCCGCCCGTTGGACTCGACTGAGGGCGATTGCGTGTGCTCCTTCGCCTCTGGCGCCGTCGTGACTCAGGACCTCTTTCTCCCTCCCTTCCTGCATCTGCTTCTGCTTCTGCTCCTGCTCCTGCTCGGCCGTCTAGCATCAACAGCCGCTTCAAGTGCTCCTATTGCCCCACCGAGTCCACACTGAACCAGGCCATACGGGTCTACTTTTGAGGCAGCGGGCGTCGGTCAGGGCGTGATCTTTTGCGGCCGCCCGAGCTACCTCCTCTCATCGCTGCCTACGCCCTATGCTCGTCTCCCGCTCAGATGGCCCGCACGAGCCATGTGAGCACGCCTCGCCTCCTCTCCTCTCTCCCGTCGCGTTCCATCGCACGAGTCGAACTGTAACTGTAGCCGTCCCGGTCCTCTGTCTTGTATCATCTGCATTCGATCCTCTTCGCCCCCGCCGGCGTCGTCCTTGACTCTTGATCCGCAACCCCGACGCCCTGCCCTGACCATGGCTGTGCGTGAGCTCAGCCGCGTGCGGGCAGGCCAAGCCAAGGCCAGCCAGGGTCCACGGCGCGCCAAACTCTCCACATCGTGTGCGGCCGCGGCCGCCCAAAAAAATAAAATTGAAGGCCGAAATTGCGAAGAGAAAAGGAAGCGGCTGGCAGCAGCATGCAGCCCCTCCTTCCCTTGCTTCTCTTTCCACCACGTTCCCAACCCACGGCCCCACTACGATTGACGACACCATGATCCCCTTTCCACAAGGACGAGGCGCTGCCAGCAGGGGAGGATACAGCAAGCGTGGCGGCGGCGGCAGAGGAGGAGGAGCAGCAGCAGCAGCATCAGCACCACCACCACCTCGGGCACACCAGCACAGCGGTCGCGGAGGCAGAGGCAGAGGCAGAGGGAGGGGCACAGACAGGAACAGCGACGCCCGCGCGACAGCCGCCAGGGCCAGCGGCGACGGCGCCGACGATGCCGCCTCCGCTGCGTCGTCGTCATCATCCTCGGCCTCGACATCGTCAGGAGACGAAGGGGAAGAGCCCTCGCTGCTGGAGCGGACCGACCTCTCGCTCGCCTCGCACCCGCTGCCCGCGCTCGACGGCATGACGTCGACGCTGAGCCAGTTTGCCAACCTGCACAAGCTCGACCTCTCGTCGCTCCAGCCGTCCGACGAAAACCCGGACGGCCTGACGACGCTGTCGTGGCTCGGCAAGGCCGTCATCCGGAGCCAGCGCGCCGTGTCCAAGGGCGAGGCCGCGGCCGCCTTTGGCGATCGCCTCACCTGGCTCAACCTCTCCGGCAACGCCGGGCTCGACGACGACGGCGCCGAGGGGCTCGAGTGCTTCAAGACGCTCTTTGTGCTCAACCTGTCGCACTGCGCGCTCGCCGCGCTGCCGCTCAGCATCACGCCGCTCAAGACGCTCAAGGCGCTCGTGCTCAACAACAACTTGATCTCGACGCTGCCCACGTCGTTCCCGCACCTCCCCGAGCTCAACACCCTCATCCTGTCGCACAACAAGCTCGCCTCGCTGCCGGCCACGCTGCCCGCCGCGGTGCCGGCGCTGAAGAAGCTGTCGATCTCGCACAACGACCTCGAATCGGCCGCGTCGCTGCCAGACCTGTCGCCCTGCCTCGCCCTGCGCGAGGTGAGGATGACGGGCAACAAGCGGCTCGGCAGCCTGCCGGCGCACATCCAGCGCTGGGGCAAGGGCGCAGACGGCAAGACCGCGCCCGGGCTCGAGGTGCTCGATTGCGGAGACTGCGGGCTGCAGACGTGGGACGACATCTCGCCGCTCGTCGAAGTGGACCGGGCAGACGGCGGCGCCGAGGAGCCCAAGCGGCGACGGGGCCTGGCCAACCTCTCGCTGCGAGGCAACGGCGTCACCCAGCTGGACGGGTACAAGGACAGGCTGACCGGCGCCCACCCGACGCTCAAGATCCTCGACAACGAGCGCATCGTCGCCAAGGTCCATCCCGTCTCGCGCGAGCAGAAGCGGCAGGAGGCGCGGCAAGAGGCCCGAATGCTGCGCAAGGCAGGCGTCCAGAGCAAGGATTCGGGCTACGCAAACGTCCGCGCCAAGCGAGATGGAGCCCCCGCACCGACGTCGGCGAGCCGGCCGTCGGCCGAGGGCAAGGGCGACCAAGGGGCGGACGACGACGGCGACGACGACGACGACGACGAAGAGGCCGCTCGGATGGCTGAGGAGATGAGGCGAGCACGGCGGCAGATGGATGGCGGACCTTCGACCACGGCCGCGGCCTCAGCTTCCAACGGCCCCGACGCCTCGCGCCACCCGAAACGGGACAAAGATGGCACACGGGAGAAGCGTGGCGCCAAGGACCGAGGGCACAACGACGCGGCACAAGAGGCCCCGGTCGAGGGCAAGAAGAAGCACAAGCGAGGCGGCGCCCGCGTCCGCAAGGGCGCCAAGGGCGGGAGCCAGGGCGAGGGCGAGGGCGAGGGCGAGGGGCAGGGCGCGGCGACCCCGGACCGACCGGCAAAGAAGGAGGGCCGTTCGGCGCTCAATTCGTCCTTCTTCGAGGTCGACGACACGCCCGCTGCATCGACGTCCACGTCCAAGGCGCAGAGCAAGGCCAAGCAGCCGCAGATCCGAGAGGGCGTCGAGGAAGACGCGACGGCCGTGCCCGCGTCGAGCGGCAACGTCGAACCGGGCACGAAGCGGGCACGGAGGAGCGGCAAGAAGCGGCGCGAGCTCGACATGGACGTCGACGACGACGACGACGACGACGGCGCCGATGTCTCTTCATCGTCCAGGTCTCTGGCGGCATCCCGGAAGAAGGCGACTGCGGCGGCGGATGCGCAGACGAAGAAGAAGAAGGACAAGAAGAAGCAAGACGAGAAGAGGAGCAAGAGGCCACGCGAGAAGATGGCGTGGGATGCAGGATCGGCGCCCTCGACATCCGCCGCGAAGCCGACAACCCCGACGCAGGCGACAGCGTCGTCGGCGACCGACGACGCGGACGAGGCCAGGGCATCGGGCGCCGGCGCTGCGGCGCAACAGCGCAGCAGCGTCGCCAAGATCATCGACCTGACAAAGAAGCGCAAGCACTCGACGTCTGCCTCGGGCAACGGCGACGTCGACGGCGAAGACGGCAGGCAGGACAAGTCGAAGCGGAAAAAGACAAAGAGCCTGCCGTTCGCCCTGGCCGCAAAGGCCACGGCGGGCGCGCACGACGTCGTCGTTGGCTCAGGCACCACCGACGCCTGGGCCAACGCGGGCGGCGCCAGCGCCTGGGACTGATGGACGAGAGCCCGTGCCTCTCTCTCCCAGGCGCAGCCGGGTCGCGCCGGACTGGCGGGGCCCAATGACGGCCAAAGGGGGGGCCGTAAACGTCCCAAGGGGAAGGCATGACGCCCTGAACGGCGAAATTGCGGTCTCCGAAAACGGGCGTCACGTGATCTTGTCACGTGCCACGAGGTCACGTGCCAGGGACGGGCCGCCGGAGCAAAAGGGGGGGGGTCGGTAGGCTGCCTCGACGGGCGTATGATCTGTACACGAGTTGTATTCCATCGCAGCGGTGGTGGTAGTGGTGGTGGTGATGCCGGGGCCGTCGCGATGCGTCTTCTTCCGCGGCATGGGCGGCGCGCCGGCTGTGCAAAACAAATGTCCGTCCGTCTGTCTATCCATCGTCTCCGATCCTCCGACGTGGCCGTGCAGCCTATCCGCCCCATTCGAAGCACTCGCTGACGACGTTGACGTGGCCGCGGAGGTCGCCACGGCGGACTCGGTCGAGGTCGATCTGCTTGCTGACAATGGAGCGGAGGACGACGTCCAAGCTCTTTGGCCCGCAGTTGGCGACGAGGACTCGGCCGCGGGCCGCCTCGACCTCGTCGCGCACGATGCGGTCGAGCTTGGGGTGGCCGGGCCGCGCCAGCTCGGCAATGACGCGCAGGTCCATGTCCTCGTCGTCGTCGAGGTCGATGGGCACGTCATCGTGCTGCGGCGTGGAGATGGCGGCGGCGCGCGAGGCGGCGTCCGACACGAGGTGGACCACGCTGCCCGACCTCGAGTGG